TCTCAGAAGAAACTTGCGACTACTACTGAGAGTTTATGTGACCACATTATACACAAAGTGGTGCAACGGAGAGAATTTTCTTGAAAGAAGGGATGAAGTCAATGAGGAAGGGCGTGGCTTCGTTGGAGTTAGGCAACGCCCTTTTTTACTATAGTTTTCTTTTCTTCTTTGAGTTCTGTATAGAATTTATGAGCGATTCCAATACTGGTGAAAAAAGACGTTAATTTGTAAATTCATTTACATTTGTGCCCCATTCCCCAGATTTTCAACCCTTCAAAAAAAGGAAAGCGCCCTCATTTTCTCCCTTCCGTTTGCGACAAATATGGGACAGTTTGGGATCTGCTTCTTGTGATAATGAATCACTAAAAGTCATCTTGTTCTAATAAGAAGTGATCTGTAGCTGGGAAGAAAAAGGCAGCGATCTTTCCCCCAAGCGCTTTAGGAAAGCTTCCCAGGTAACCTAGGGAAAGATTATAAGCATTGGGATTGCGTGTCCGTTCATTCACTTTACCTGTAGTGGTTCCTTCTCAAATTTCGGAGTGGTATGGTTGTTGGCTATTATCACTCCAGGTTCTGTAAATGTTACCTGCTTGTCAGGGAACCGGGATTCTGTAAAAATGGGCTAACATTAGCTATGATGCATTGGAAAGTCCGAAGCCACTTACGGTCTATAAGTGATGGAGGAGGAGTAGGAAGTGTGTGCAGTGGCTCTTCTTCATCTTTCGATACAACTGCTAAAATTTATGATGTTGTTGCCTGTTATCTGACTTGTTAGATTTGCATGCAAAGAAGAAAAAAAAATACTTTTATGATTTTGAGTTCAATATAAAATAGTATCAGACTCTTTTCCAGTGCATCTCACAATGACAGCCTTTAGACGAATAGACATCTAACTTCGTTATCTGCTACTTAGTGTCTGAGCTGTCATTGATAGTTGTGGATTAAGCTTTGAATAAAGCTTTTGCAGCGCAAGAGGTAACAAAGCCTTATGAGTAAACACAA